GTAGGGGGTGCGGGGGAGCGGGAAAGGGGGAGGAAGCAGTTATGCCCAACTCAACCCTTCGGGGTCTGTCTACCGCTCCGCTGATTTATTGACATAAATAGGTAGGAACAAGTAAAAATGACCCAATCCCCCTTTCCAAGTTCAAGGCCCAGCTGCAAAGTGACCGATGCCAAGTCCCACCCCTCCCCTCCCTCGCACACCTCTGTAGCCTTGCAGCAGCAGGGGTGTGACTGTAGTCCTGCCAGCCCCAGACACCCTCCACCCCCAGCCCCTGCTTCCTTTCCCTCCAGAGCAACAGGCACTAACTGCTGCATGGGGTGCCAGCACCCTGGCCCACAAGCATGAAGCCAGCAGCAGCAGGGGCAGGACTTATGTCCAGCATGGGGGTGGGAAGAGCTCAGCTCCCCCTCCATCCTGTGAAAAGCCACCCCCCGCACCCTCCTTCCCATTCCTCAAGCCCTGGGGCAGGGCAGCCCCCAGAACAGCAGCACTTTAAACAAGGTTTCCCATCACTGGCTGCAGAGCTGCAGATGACAGGCAGAGGCTGCCCCTTTTCCTGCACCAAACAACTACTCAAATCCCCATTACGCTCCAAATCCCAGGGCAGAGGTCTTAGCCCCAGCACTGCTGGATAAGTACTCAGCCCCCAGACACAAGCCAGCCCCAGGAAACCACTGCAAAGGCTCCCGTTCCTTGCTGACAATGGGAACTGGGAACCCACTTCCAGGTTTTTTCAGCTGAGGGCAGTTGTGCACCACGCAAGGAACCAGGAGGACTACGGAGGTCGGGAAGCTCAGGAAGGAGTCTGCAAAGGAAAGGACCCTCAAAGCTGGCCTGAGGAGTGCTCCCCACTTGAGCTGTGCAGGGCTCTGGCTGCCCCTCCCCATGGCTGATGCAGGCCAGAGGGGTCACTCTTGCATCAAGCTGTTGATCTTTGTCAGCAGCACATCCGTCTCAGACTCTGGGGAGACAGAAAATAAAAGTCATCACAGGCAGCCACCATCCTGCAGCAACAGGCGGAGTGGCCTGAAAAGCAGGTTTGAGGAGACCTGGGGAATGTGGGATTCCCCAGCACTGTCCCACAGGGCTGTTTGCTAAAGGCAGGACAGGAACTCCCTGGGCTGGGATTCCCTTCCCTCCCACAGCCATCCCAAACCGCTGTGTCACGTTTGGCTGGAGAAAGCTGCCTGCCTGTCCCGCAGGCACAGCCTGGCTCCGAGGGAGGGAGCTCACATCCATGCACACTCACCCACTGGCTGTCTCCTCTGGGAGCATTTCCTAGAGATGGGATAGGATCGATGTTAGCATGTCAGTCTGGCCTCCCCCTTCTGTCCTCTGAGCTTCTAGATGGAGACTGTGGGGCCCCATAGGACACAGTCCCACAGGGATCTGCTCTTGGTGCCTGCAGCACTGGTAAAGGAGCAGGACCAAGGTCCCCCCAGCCTCAGCCCCCCAAGCCCTGGGGTGCAGAACGAGCGAGCAAATGTGAACTAAGGCATCCAGCACCTGAAGCAAGGGTCAGGCCAGATTTTTAGCTGCAGCGTGGTGATAAAAGCTGCCTCCACACACTGCTGTCTCACTTAGCCAGACAGGAGAAGACCCCCCAGGATCTGAGTCCAGAGAGGGGTGGCAGCAGATATGACCAGGTTTGGGTATGTACCAGCCACCCAGGGCACACTACAGCCTCCCCCAACAGACCTGCCCCGGGAGGGGGAAAGGGATCAAACGTACTTCAGCAAGAGGAAGGCCCAGAGGATAGCAAGGAAGGAAGAGCAGTCTGCAACAATCCAGATCATGAGGTACGTGCTGCTGGGCTGCAAGGCAACAAGACAAGCCATGAACACCAGCCAGGGGTGGTGTGCTGGTGGTACAGCCCAGACTGCTGTGCCAGCGGTTCCTTCTGCAGGGTCACACGTTCCCATGCCAGCACTGAGCAAAAGCCACCCTCCAGGCAGCTGGCAAGGAAGCAAGTGCAGTCTGCAACAATCCAGATCATGAGGTACGTGCTGCTGGGCTGCAAGGCAACAAGACAAGCCATGAACACCAGCCAGGGGTGGTGTGCTGGTGGTACAGCCCAGACTGCTGTGCCAGCGGTTCCTTCTGCAGGGTCACACGTTCCCATGCCAGCACTGAGCAAAAGCCACCCTCCAGGCAGCTGGCTGCCCACAGCAGCTGCAGAAAGGGACCCACAAGTGCATGGGGCACAGGGCTGTGGGGCAGGGTGAAGGATGGAAGGGTCACTTACAAGCAGCCAGATGGGGTGTTTCATCTCCTTCAGCACCTGACAGGCGTTGGTGGTGACAGAGCTCACCCCAGAGCACCACAGCACAGAGAAGAGCCAGGGCTGGTTCACCACGTACAAGTTGACAGAGATGTTGTCCTGGCGGTACTGCCTGCATAGGGACAGCCGTGGTCAGAGCAGCAGACAGCAGGGTGCCGGCACACTCAGCATACAGCCAGAGAGGACTGTATGTCTGGGATGTGATCCAGCATTTGCAGCCACATGGAGCAACTGTCTGGAGAGCCAGACGCAGGGCAGATTTGCTGGCAAGGCAGAGGACTACAGCCAGCTCCATCCTCTGCACCAGCCCTGCCTGATAAGGCATGCTTGTCCACAGGGCTGTAGCACACACCCTGACCTTCCCAGCAGTGCGCCAGCACTCAGCCTCAGCTGGCCCTCACCTCTGCTGGCCCCTGGAACAGAGCTGGGACAGTGCCCAGGCCCCACAGCTCCCAGGCTCCTGGGCAGAGGGCTTTCACCTGATCTCCTCAGAGCTCATGTCCTGGTAGGGCAGATTGACATGCAGCAGTGGCTCCTTCTCATTCTGGAGTCTCTTCCGGCCGTAAACTTGCTGAATGCCTGGGGCTTGCTGTTTGACCTGTTCCCTGAACCCATCCGGCAGCCAGAGGACCTAGGCAAGAGCCAGAGAGCACATGCAGAGGAGAGGTGCTCCAGAGGGCTTGCTCTCTTCCAATATTTCCTTGCAAGTCCAGGCACACATGGCCTGCTCAGACAAGCTGCTTCCTGCCCCCCTCCATGCTCAACTCCTCCATGAGGATCTCAGCCAGGACAGTCTCCTAAGAGCTTGTCCCAGCCAAGAAGTAAGCACAACAGACCCCACTGAGTGGAGAAAGCAGTTCCTGCCTAAGCAAGCTGCAGCAGTTATGTCCTTTCTGGGTCCTTGAATGGATCAAGCAGTACATCCTTTTGGCCCCAACTCTGCAGCAAGAATGCACCTTGGATCAACACTACAGTCTTTGCTGTCTCCCCTCCTGCTCTGCATTCCCAAAAAGCCAAGAAGGGAAAGTGATTTGGGTGCTAATTCATCCCCTCAGGGCAGCACGTGTCCTGTGCTGCAGAGGTTGGATGAAGTGCAAAGGCAACACAGGAGGTTGCAGAAGGAGTCCAAGAGCTGCAGGGAGAGGTGTGGCACAGTGCTGGGAGGTGGAAGCCTGAGCACCGTTTTCCTGCTCTTGCTAGCACTGTTGGTCCCCTCCCTAGACTGAGTCACGGTTTATACACCAGGGTGGCCAGTGCTGGGAAACCACAGTATTTGGAGGGGTCTGAAGCTGTAGGCATTAACCCTAATTATTGGCAACTTCTCCCAGCTAGAGAATCCCATGCCTGGACAGGGTTCCCCAACAGGGCTCACATATGGGGATGTGGTGCATGGGGTGGCAGGGATGCTCAGTGGGGTTGGCAGGGCAGCTCCCACCACAGTAAGGGTGTGACAGCAGGGCCGGGCAGTGGTGGGGTGGTGGCCAGCTCACCTGCTGTAGTGGGATGCCCGACTGTAAGATCACTTCCAGGGTGGCATTCACAAAGCTCTGGTAGTCACTGTGGTTCTCAGGCCGGAGGTCGAACATGATGGAGATATTGCTCTGCTTGGCTGCCTCTAGTGCCTGTTCCAGGGATGGGATCCTCTGTTTAGTTACCCGGTAGCGATCGCCAGCAGAAAGACTCTGCACAGTGGGAAACGGCCTCCGCTGCAACGGTGAGAGAGAGTTAGTCATCATAGGCAGACCCCCCCTAAGCTTCCACCTCCCAAACTGGTGCCCGTCTCTGGCTCTCAGTTTCCTACATGGCCTCTCCACATGCTCTCCAGTGCAGACAGGCACAGGGATCCTTCCCCTGCACATCCATGGGGCACCTCTACCCTTCTCCCCACTAACAGCACAGTTCAAGCAGCCCCAACACCTGTGGGCATTCAGAGCAGCCCAGCAGTTGGTTAGTCACCATTTGGGAAGAGTCTTGCCACAGCTGCCTCCAAGCCCAGGCAGGCTGTGCAGCTCAGAGCAAACATGAGACATCTCCCCTCAAACCAGCCTCCTCTGTGACTCAGCTGAGGAGTCAGAACAAACCCCAGCTTGGGGCATAACCGCACCCAAGGGATTTGTGCAGGCGTGGAAGCGCTTCTGCACCCTGTCCAGGTGTCTGCCAGGACCAGCGCTGCAAAGGGAACCTTCCCCAGGGCAGGGCTCATGCTTCACCCACAAATCCCTGACCAGACGCCCCAGGGGCATCCTGACCTCCAGGAACCAGCTGCCAGCATCCAGCTGCTGGAGGTCTGTCCAGTTGAAGGTGGTGCTGTTCAGGGCAGCCCTCTCAGGGAACACAGCTTGCACGTTGGTGGTCCTGGTGAGTTCCTCGTCATGCATGAGGAACGGGACCCCGTCAGCACTGGCAAAGGAGCAGAGAGGGAAGTTCTGTGTTGCAAGCTGCTTGTCTCCTATCCCTACCCTGGCATTTCTGCCTTCTCCCAGCCACCCTGCTAGGGTAACCCCCACCCTCATGCCTACTTGTGGTCCTCTACACAAAAAGGTGAGAGTCTGGAAAGCACAGAGCACCTAGAGACCAAACCAAGAACCAAGTAGTTCCTTGCTCACTGCAACAGCTGTCCCCATAGCAGGATTGCATGAGATGAACTAGAGCCAGGGTCTGTTTTCCAAGCAGTGCCTCTCCCCTGATGGTGCCTACCTCCTAATGCCCTGGAAGGCAACCTGCATGGGGAGGACAGAAACCCAGTACCTCTCTCAGCTCATTGGGACACCAAGCTGGAGCCAGTCCCGTACTGGGAAGATGAGAATGGCAGAGCCCTTTGAACAGGGCTGCCTCCAAATGCAGGCTATATCAGTCTTCCAGGTGTGTTCCAGAATGCCCCATGTGAGAGGTGACATCCCAGGATACACAGGCCCCTTCCTCCCTCCGAGTCCCTGCTGCCCCTTTACCTCACCATGACGTCTGTCTCAAAGACTTGCACATCACAGTCCACCGCCTTGTGCAGTGACATGAGGGTGTTTTCGGGGGCCAGCTGGAAAAGGAATGGTGTTAGTGCGGAGGGCATGAGTGGGAAGGGGCAGGAGGCAGGCACTCACCCTGCCTGGCTGCACCCAGCAGCTTGGCTGGGCTCTGGGTCAACCACAATGAGACTGGGGTGACCCTGGTAGGGTGGGGGATGGAAAAGGGCTGGGTGCAGACAGCCGAAGCCTGCCTAGTCCTTGCTTCCCAGCCCACACTACACAGCCAGGCTTTCTGCTGAGAGTTGCTTGCCCCTGGTGCATCAGTGCTCAGCAAGCAGCTCTGCCCTGCGACTGCTGCGCCCACCCTCCTCACCCATCCTCCAGCCCTGCGCTGCCCTGGCTAGTGTGGGGACCCCTCTCTACTGGGCTGGCCAGAGCTCGTCCAGACCTGCAGCAGCAAGGGTCTGATGCCAGTGCCCCACAGCCAGGCACAGCCTGGCTTTTGCTGGCAGAGCAGCCTGTCCCATCCACCCTGATCCACTGTGCCAGGATGCTGCCGGTGCTGGTCACTCACCATGGGGGCTCCTCGGTGGCCAACCAGGGCTGGCTTGGGGGGCAGCTGGTTCTCCTCCATGATGCAAGGGGAGGCAATTCCCAGGGGAGCCAGATACAGCGCGATCATCACTGCGCAGTACACAAGCAGCAGAAACACCTTGAGACCTGCAGGCAGAGACAGAGAAGATAGAGGGGTGAGGTACAGAAGAAGTATTTTGCAGGCCGTTAGGAATAAGCCAAGGCTGCTTCATCTGGCATTAACTTATGGTTGCCCTAGGTCAGGCATTGCATCCCCAGCCTCAGGAACACTGCAGATTTATTCTTGGCCCACTATGTGTCCTTGCACCCCAACCCAGCACTTCCACAGGACTCAGTCTGCCATCCCTAGCCCTCCTTCAGCTGCAAAGCAGTGAGGGTTGAAGCTGCACCAAGGGCTGGGCATGAGAAGCAGCAACCAAGAGCACACGTTACTACCTGAGTCCTGGGGACCTGTTCCCACTGCGCCAACACTCTCTGTGCACCACTGCCACTTGGTTGGGTGGTAGGAAGAAGGGCACCAGTCTAGGGGGGAAGTGGAGACCTTGAAGGGGGATTACCTGTGCTGCGGGTGCGGTAGATGAAGGTGGCCAGGGGCCAGGCAAGGAGCGTCATTCCCCCCACAATTCCAATGTGCAGGAAGGGACCTGTTGCCTGGGGAGGCAAAAGCATGGTGTCAGCCGGCACCAGCCCAGCCCCTGTCCCCAAAATCCACATACGCCAATGCCAGGGATCTGTCACTGCAGCCAGCACCGCTGGAAGAGCCACAGTGCCAGGCAGGGAAGGACAAGCTCCTGGGGGGACTGAACAGACTCCCTGCTCCAGTCCAGCCACTGTTCATCACCCTGGCTGCAGCTGCTCCAGGCAGGACTACAAGAGCAGGAGGAGCATCTTGCCTGGCCAGGCAGCAGAAGTCAAGGGCAGGGAGTTAACCCCCATGGCACACAGCCATGCTGGGGGCTCCAGTCACCACCCTTCAGCTCATCCCCACAGGCCAGGTACTGGGTACAGCGGAGGAGTCTCTGGTATTGAGGTGACTCACCTGCAGGGAGATACGTGCACTTCTCCACTCCTCCGCCCACTTTATTCCCAGCCCTGTGAAGGCTGCAGCCACCACCAGGGCAGTTAAGATCAGCAGGGTCTGTGGGGCAGGGCACAGGGCAGTTAGGGGAGCACACAGCATCCTGCAGGTCAGCTGGGCTCTGCCCTGGCAGGGCAGGCAGAGTCCTCCTCATCCCTTCCTCCTGAGCCCCTGCAAGTCCTGAGACCCCATTTCCCACATCTGGGTTTGCAGCTGAGCTCTGTACCCCATGCTTTGAGCAAGGGGAATATTCCCATCCCAGAGACGTGTGGCTTGGGCACTAACAGCTGCAGCTCAGCAGGGACACACCACACAGCCACTCAGTGGAGTCACGGCAGCCCAGTAGGCTGGTCGCAGCTTCCCAAGGTGCAAGGCAGCCAGGGCGGGCACCAACTCCCTGCACCCCCAGTCTCTCACCTTGTGCAGCCAGTGTAGCTTCAAGGGCTGGCCGCAGAGCTGCAAGCACAAAGCAAGGACCTGTGAGCAGAACAAGGAGATGTCAGAGCTGGGTTGTACCCCACACCTCAGCCATCTAAGGGCACAGGACTCAGCCACAGGAGCTCTGGCCCCTTGACACAGGCAGGGTCTCTGGCCATGCTCAGGCTGATACAGCTCCAGCAGGCTGGATGCTGCGGGCTCCACCTGGCTCTGCACAGGACATGGCAGCCAGCCTGTGCTCAGCACAGCTCCGTACCTCGGCTAGCCCAGGTGGGATCAGTGGGGCTTACCAGCAGCACAGCTGAGTAGGTGATCAGCACAGCCGTAGCTATGAGCAAGACCAGGGACCAGTCTAGCCACAACTTCCTCTGCTTGAAGATGAACCTGCCAGCAAAGGGGACAGTCAGAAGGGCAGAGGAGACATGGGGAGCAAGGCTGGATGTGGGATCCTACTCACTCATTGAAGTTGTGGAAATCATTGAGGATGATGATGGCGAAGTAGAGCCACACCAGCGTGAAGAGGAAGACGCAGAAGAGGAAGAGGAACCAGCTGCAGTCGCACTGAAAGCCAGAGATGACAGCTATGCACACATCCGCAGGGCACCTAGCCCCTGGCCAGGTTGTTGAGACCCCTGGGGAGCACCCAGCCTGCAGCAGGGTGCACAGGGGGTCACAGCAGGCACTGGCCTCATGGGTCCAGGCATTGAGCTGCCCCATGGAGAAGGAACAGAGTTCCCCAGGAGAGCTCTTTTGGCTGGACCCATGCTACAAGAAGGTGGACCAGCATCTCCTACAAGCTAAAAAGCTGGCTATGCTAGGCTGGGAAGGACAGACCCTGTGGCAGGACTGCCTCCTTTCCCATGCAGCAGCCCCTGGGAGCAGGCTGGGACTTTGGACACGGGAAGGGGCAGGGAGCCAGGCCCTGTTCCCTTCTAGCTGGGTGATCTGTGGGCTGGGTGGCGCGGGGGGCTGTGCCTCAGAGCTGCCATTGCAGCGGGGAGCCGGCAGACCGCTCCTGCCTGCACCGCC